GCCGATAATTTCCCGAATTCTACAATTGCAAATAACAGTCAATGCTTTCGATCTTGCCAACGAAAATAAGTTAGAATTTTCTTTAGTTGATGCATAAAGAATAGTGATGCTGGCTCTAAATCAGTGTACACGAAATGCTCGCCAGAACTTATACAGGATAAAGCTCTTTTCCAAAAAAGGGAAGAAAGACTATACTGCACTTACTCAGATCTTCATCGATGTCAATTAATTGGGGACGTGTCGCCTCCAGCTCATTTCTGCCAAAGCTTAATAAAGAGTCTTCAAAGATAAACGCAGCAAAAATGGTATCCCCCAGTTTTTGATTCTTTGATGACTTAAAGACCTTTGGTGAACTGCTGCCCCATGTACTTCGGAGTGAAGCTCTAAATTGTTTTTTTGCGTCCTTGAGGAGAAGAGGTACTATTAAATGAGTTTTGAAAAGTAGCTAATGCTACATGTAAGTTACCTCTTCGGAGAGTGATCGGAACAACATTACCCGTTTGATACACGATTTTTCTGGTTAACTTACATATATTGGCTTGTCACCATTGTCGCTTTTAAGACACACAGAGTAAGAGAGAACAGCCCAAAAAAATGAGCAAACATTCCCACTGTCAAAAACTTAAGATAGCAAACTTGCAAATTGACAGACCCACCACGTAAAACACGACTACGTAATACAGTAGATGGTTTGAACCCGGGGGTAACATTTAAAAGTGTGGTGCGATCGTCCGGGTGAGAGTAGCCCTGAGAAGGAGAGTTGTCGATGGTGGTGACTGACATTTCGACAACCTGTGCGGACGTCATCATCAGAGTTAAGTATATATATTGACTATTCATTGAAAATGTTACCTCAATACTAGTTTTGGTTGGACAACCTTTACGACCGCTGAGCCATCTGCCATCTAAACCAAAGCCAAGAAGATAAAAAGCGCACAATTACAATTATATCATACGATAGTTTTGAATTTAAGTAGTATGCCTATTATATATCAGAGGTTTACCCAAGTCTACCCAGTTCAGCGGAAATTGCACAGGGACAGTGGACCATAGAATAGTTTGCAGTCTTCATGGCTTCTCTCGAATAATAACATGTTGCAAAAACACGTTACACTACTAGCATAGCTGAACAGTTATAATGTGCTGAAGAAGAACGGAATTGGTACTTTTACTAGCTTATTTGACCCCATTTTATCTCAATGCGGAAATCTATTAAGGAACATTCAGAAAGCGGTAGTCTCTAGCTCCCTTAAAATTGCCAGGACTTTCAAGGTCCTATCGGACTAAGTTCTTCCAACGACGTCAGTTTTAAGTATAGTTTTTAAACCATTTATCTCCATTTTAGGGTCTATGGGTATAACATTTTAGAATTTCTTTGGTTTATTTGCGTCTGGACCTGTAAGGTCCTATCGGACTAAGTTCCTTAAACGACATCANAGTTGTTGTGAAGCTAGCAACAATTTGTCTAGACATATTAATGCTGTTTCAGATTTTACCTAAAGGTTGTAATAAGCCATATATTTCACAAAACACGTAAAGCTTTCGTTAATCAAGCGCAAGTGGCGTAATTCCTATTAACATGGGGTGTTTCGTAGCCTGTCGTGATCAATCGCTTTTGCTTTCTGATACTTTAACTTCCGTTCAAATAGTTTTGGCTCTATAGAATACTGGAATAATTAAGTTCGAGGATAAAATTTATATAAGTATAGTGCTTACATGTCTTCAGAGAAGTTCCAGAATACACATGTTCTGTTTTCTCTATCCACCTAAAGTAAAACAAAAAAGGAATCAAGTGTTGTTATTGAAGGAGTGATAAAGTGGGGCTCCACTTGTCGCCTCCTTGATGCCTTACTAGAAGCGGGCTAGTACGGCGTCATTGTTATAGAATATCATTGTATCCCACCAAGCTAGATAGTGAACCTCTTTATGAAGGTCTCTGGGACCTCTCCACTTAATCAAGTATAGATTTGTTATTCAGCAAGAGCAAGTTTGTTTTCACT